AATTTCGGGTGTGCTTCTTCATGGATTATAATCTTTATTGCCCTAGAATAGCTAATGCTTCAGCTGTGAATATGGGGCAAATTTTAAGTAGATTGTGTAATATTTTTTTTTTTTTTTTGAAATATTATCGAAATTTGGCTATTTATCTGAGGATAAAACTAGGTAATATAAGTTATTTGTGAGCCAGCGGAGAAGTAATGCTAACGTGGTTCCTCCGCTAGCTCTCGATACCACGACAAAGAAAAAGGTAATATAAGTTATTAAAAATGCATAGCTCAAAATTATACTCATATTGGTAGTTGGTACCTAGATAATAATATTATCTCAATGGTTAATATTTTCACCACAAACTTAAATTTTACTGTATATTATACCTAATAGTTTTAGTTTGTAGTTTTAAATGTTCATGATTTATTAACGAATTTCTGATTCACAAGAAGTAATTTATTAAAATATGATATGATAGTTATTATTTAAAATGTTCCTAATTAATGAAATAATATATAATAATAATAATAATAATAATAATAATAATAATTTCTTTATATGTTGGTAATTATTATTATTTATAAGCTTTTTTCAATTTTTTTTTTGGTTCCCTGATATGAATATATGATTAAAAGTAAATTAATAAATTAGATTTTGTATGACAAGTGGAAACTGAAAGATTATTATTCAGATTTCAGAATGTGATATTGGGAAGTTATATGATATGGCTCACTTATATAGACAATTTTAGTAACACCTGTGATACAGGTCTGCGCATACCTATTATAGTATACAAATGGCATACTGTTGACCCAACTAATTACTTTTCCACAATTGGTCTGTTTATTTTAAATTGCTGTTCTTTGTTAATTGAATATTATATTACACTATTACCTTAAATTATCGTCCAAGTGACAGCTTTTTATCAATACTAATGGCAATTAGGCTAATTAATACTAAATAATAACTGATTAAAATTCATTCTTTTCGTATACTAGTATATTATTATGATAGTTAGTTAATAATTATTATATTCTAATTCAGTACTTAATAATTTAATTAGGTAGATAAACTATTAAATACTATTTTTTAAATATGTATATAATATATCTTTGCATGTTTACATATATACATTATTCATATATAATACTCAATCAATGAAATCAATTAGGTAAACCATAATATAATTGTATTGACGTATTATTATTGTAATATGAGTTGATACTGAAAAATTGTACCTACGTGTCATATCGTATGTATTATCGACTATCGTACCTATACATAATATTATATTCACATATTATACGTTCTATACTTTATGAGTGATTTTCAACCCGTGTCCCTTGTAGTGAGCCGCTGCCCACGACCGTTGGAACTGTTCATTTTTTAGAAGCGACTATAAACATAAAACAATTCGTTTTTAACTTTGAATGAGTACCTACCATACCACTTAGTGATTCCAAGTAAACATTCAAAAAATAATAACGAGATACCCAATTGGATCACCAGTTGAATATTATATTTTATAGTTGTATACTTATTACTTATAATTTATATTATACATACGTGTGTAGACGTGTAGTATTTATACTCGTATAGTCGATTATTAAAGCTTATCGGCAGTCGGTGACAAATTACTATGATAAAGACTAAATCTTAATAAATTGTAATATCATTAATTATTGTATAGGTGCCTGTTGCAGCTAACCTAAACATTATACGTCTGTGAGATTTGGTGTGACGAGACAATTTTGCAAAAAATAAAATCTGTGCCGTCTTTTTAAAAAGGTTGAAAATCACTGTACTATATAATATTTGACTATCATTATCTATTAAACGCTATGTAAATGGGAGATAACAAAATAAATATAAAATGTTGAACCGTTTCTATTATTTCTAAATTATGTAACAAATTGGGTACACATTCGTATTGTTTTCATACAGATATATTATATAGGTATCTAATAGCCATTTTAATATAAATATTAAAAATAGGCACTAGTATAATAGTTTTCGCAGGACATATACATGTATAGGTCCTTCCTCTAGGTACCTTCATTACTTAAACATTAGTCGAAGAATTGAAAATTTAATTTCAAATGTAATAGGTACAATCTTTTATATTCATAAAATATATTTTTATAGTTTTGTCTATAGATTTTGTGAATTCTGTTTTACTACTAAAATACAAGAACCTATGTCCGTTTTAAATAAATTATGCATTTTTATAACAATACCTTCCTAAATTCATATGATAAACGGATAAAACAATTTAAATGTGACATTTTTATAGTACATAATAGGTATATTTTTATTGCAAGACCTTTATTATTTTTATATTTTTCACAAGAAGTATTGGTATTTGGCTTATAGTATTATAATATCTTACACACAATTTTCAAAAATAAAAAATTTGGAAAGTCAAGTAGGTCACTGTTATGTGTGTGTTAAATTTTAATTTAAAAATATATATCGTGGAAAATGATTGTGAACAATTCTAAGACTATTTTATTGTATATATATATATATGCAATATGTATTTATAATGCTATGTAGGTATAATATGTAATATTTTTTTACTCGTAATACGGTACGTTAGTTTGTCCTAAACCAAAAACATATATTATTTAGTAACTATCATAATATTATTATAATATACAAAGTAACTGTTAATAACTTATAATTAAATACCGCCGTACCACACACCAGTGTGAATAGATTCATGTTATAAATAGCTTAAAATTAATTTAAATATTTTAGAAATTTAATTGTCCAAACTAAATAACAATATACATGGTGTTAAAAAGTTTCAAGTCCCTACGAATAATATTATTGGAATTACAAGTTACAACAAAATAACTAAAAACATAATTATAATTTTCATTTAAATATCCTGCAATCTCGGCAATGTTTAAACTTGAATAAATGCCTTTAAAAATAAATTAAGCTTTTGTATTATTGAGCCTTTTAGGTTGCTGAAAAAAAATTTTGAGGAATATTGTATTTACATTTTCAAACTTAAAGTGTTAAAATTAAAAATTTTGTATTTTTTACAAAGTAAAAACAATTTGAATTTTTTTGTACTTTGACAAATATTTACTTACAAACATTTATGAAAAAGAATATAGCTTAAAATTAGAATAAATATTTTTAGAATTGAATTGTGTATAGAAAATTAATATTTAAATAACAGTAAAAAATAATATGTTACAAGTATTTACGAATAATAATTTTTAGGTACAACTTACAACAAAATAACAAAAATAGGTTGACGAAAAATGTTATGAGGAATCTTGAATTAAATGTTTATTTTTTAGGTATTAATATCTTATGAATTTTCAACAACCACAAAATAATTTACATATTATTATTCTCGTATTTTTTACAAACTTTAATGTTCATATGAAAAATATTGGGCCATGTATTTTTGATATCTTTTAATTGCTGTAACAACAACTAACGAGGGATCTTATATCAATTTTTTCAGCTTTTTTACTCACAAACAAACATATTATCCTCCGTATATCCAATTTTATCCTCGCCATCCAATAGTACTAATTAGATCCGATTTGTTAACAGACACCACTTTCATAGTTAAAGATTCAAGCACCCTGCTCCAAAATGTAGTGACAGTCACACTAAAATAAAAGCACAAATAATTTTAAAATCAATAACCTATAGTGGTTTAAAAAAGTTTTGATAAGTTATTTAAAATCTGACAAGTAGTTGGTTTGAAAGTCGTATGTACCTATATAATGAATTGTGTAATATACCTACGGTTAAATACACTATATTATGTAAAACTAATAACCCTTATATGAGTAATAAATATAATATTTAATTATCAAATATTAGTTGTTATAAAAGAAATATAATAAGATTATCAAGATTGATTGCTTAACATTTATACTTCATATATTGAACAATATAAATTAATAAATTATAATATAATAAGGCAGAGCCGCAGAGGTAAAGTGTTTTATAATATTGTTTAAATTGTTTAATCATTTTTAAATTAAAGCTTTCATTATTATTTTATTTCCTTTCCAATGATCAAATCGTAGACATTTATTGTTGTAGTTTACCCATCTAACTGTAATGAACATCGGATATTGGATGCCGAAACGACTTTGATTCACAAGCCCTTAAAAAAAACTAATTCAACAATTGTTTTTCTAAGTATTTTTTTCTCTCGTATAGTTTCTCATCCAAACGAATAAAGTCCATTTTATAGCTCATTAAAGCAAGCAATTGTATTGGTCCCAGCCACACACGCAGGGGGGTGGCAGGGACACCCTTGGGAGGGGAGTAGGTTAAGCTGACAATAGTACGATTTATCTATGTACGTATATAAGATAAACATATATATATATATAATTCAAAGGAAAAAAGAGCGAATTGTGGTGTCGGGGACGTCGGTGACGCAGGACTAGGAAATGGGTTGCAACGGACGGGTAAAGAGGAAGAGAGTACATATCGCGCGCGGCTGTGTCAGCGGCGGCGGCGCGCATACACACACAAAAGGGGCGCCGGCGTCTGATATCGAGCACAAGCTACGGCGGCGGCGGCGGCAGCGGCGGCTACACCATTATAATAGAGGGATGTCAACAAGTAGCTCGGCGGTCCGCCCGAGACGTGCCGAACTTTACCGACCGGCCGCCGCCGCCGACGCCGCCTGTGGTATTGATTGTGGAACGGCGCCCGCAGAGCACCCGCACCGGCGTCCGTGGCGTTACGCACTGCACACAAGACGCGCACACACACACGCTCGCACACACTCACACACCGTCGCGCTCACACGCAAACGCGAACGCGAACGCAAACGCGGCACACGCTTGCACCGCACGCCGACGTACTGTGCTGCACGCAGTAGACACACGGTTCGAACGCCGAACGCGGGCCCCCTCGGTTAAATTTTTTTTAACCAAACTACAAAACTATAACCACACACTCACACTCACGCACACACACATATACACACGGCTCACGGCACACGAACACCGCACGACACGATGGCCGCGCCGCTCGTATGTACGCGATTTAGTGACAATTACGAACTTAAAGAGGAACTCGGAAAGTAAGTACCTATATATAATATAATATATATATACATATAATATTTATCATGACGCCTCCTGTTGTACGTATACTTACCGCCGACCGATGTATATTATAATAACATTATATTATTTTTATCACATTTAATACAGTCGTTTTCGATATATCAACGACGACGATGACGATCGTAATATAATAATAATATGTTATAATATAATATACACACCGCAGTGGCATAAAATTAGTATTTAGTATAATATTATATACTATAGTATAGGCAATGATGGGTATAGGTTACGAATGTATTTTCTTACCGGGCGTAAATACCTACGTTTTTCGTACAGGTACGTCTGTAGCTCTGTTTTATCTACCGCCGTTTCAGCCGGGGGACCCCCGTGTGCTTTCGCGGGTGCCAGTTCGCAATCGATTGTCCTTCGACATCCGCCGCGGATCGAGCTCATATTATATTATCATAATACAATATTATTGTATAATATTCGCTTCTATTATTATGTCAGCTATATCACTATGTTTGTTCCGTCTCTCCCCAAAACAAACGGAATCCAACCACTCGACGACGACGAATTCCCAGTGGTTGGTTTCCCGTCTGCGCGTCGGCGGGGACGTAATCCTCGTTTAGGGATTTCGCACATATTCAACGCGAATCGATAAAGCGTCGTTGTCGGTGGTGGCGGTGGCGGCGGCGGCGGCATCTAAGTCCGGCGAATGTTTCACCGCCGCGCATGTGTGTGTGTTTATTATATACGCTCATACACACACACACACACACATGGGTATAAGATATAATATTATATAATAATATGTATAGTATAGTATATACCTATAAGGTGAAAGTAAGAGTAATAATATACATTGTGCCCTAGGCTTAAACAAGTTTGCGCCGCGTGGCTGTGTCCTGTTCACACATCATATTATATACATATATATAGATTTATTGTGCACATATTATACGCGCGCTGTCATTGCCCCATCCGCGTATATTTACATGTATTACGCGGTGGCAAGGACTGTAGGGATTTGACTGACGAACCGCAGCAGTGCGACGTCTACAAAATTAGATCAGGTCATCGGGACCTTCCTCTCACCCCCTCTCAACGACCAATCCACTGTACGCGTACTCTTGCTTGCACACACATAACATTACAATCACACATTCACACACACACACACAAACATATACTCACGTATACCCTCCTCGTCGCTTCCACCGGCGGCTCAGTAACCGAGTACCATATATAATATACCTATACCTACAGTTTATTATATTATACTATATATACCATACGTCATAGACGTTAAATTGTCGTAATGCACGTGCTCATAAATCACGTGCCATCGCTTTTAGGACGGCGGCGGCGCTCCGAGATGTGTATTAAAACCATGTATACCTAACATAATACGCAGAGGTATAAATATATAATATACGAATACGTACGAGTACAACTGAATAATATAACTATGGGTATTATATTCTATATACACATATGATATTATCATTATCATGGCAGGCGTAGTCGATCGACGACTTTGATTTCGGTGCGTGCGCAGTGATACGAAGTATACCGTTGACATACATACCATTATAGTTTCCCATATTATATCCATATACGATAAATTTAATACATATTATTATTATTACTATTATCGCATTCAAGTATGTTAGGTACGAAGGATCGGTGTTCAGCTCAAAACTGGAGTGAAATCTCAATAAGGAATTTTATTATAATTGGCGTTTTGTATCTGCGGATTTATTCTAATATTGTTAATAGTTTCATGTAATATAATGAATATATTATATATATCCAACTGCTGCATAAATAAAACGATACAACTTTTGGAAAGGAAAACAAAATATGATAAACGTGATGGGGATGAGATGTAAAACAAAATATCTTATATCGTGGTATATATAGATTGGGAGCGGGAGATGACGACTGTCGGTAGAGAAAGGGTGGAAGTAAATGCCAATTCGTGTTGCTTGTCATTGTTGGACAACCGGGTGCTGCGTTTATCGAACTTCTTCTCTCTCTCTTTCACTCTGTCTCTCTCTCTCACTATAACCACTCCCTCTCTCTCTCTCTCACCCTCGGTCTCTATACATCTCTCTTGTACTCTCATCATCTCGGTGTCCTCCCCTACCTCAGTTTACGAGTCTCGACACCACCACTTCAGATCCTTCCCGCGTCTTCATACACACACACTAATATGTATATTATATTTATATGTATACCAGTGGTAATATGACTGCGAATTTTAGCAAGCATGCGCCTTTTAATGGCCCTCACGACACTATTACTCTCTGGAGTGGCGCTCTATACAAGTCCTTAACCTTTTCCTCTGCCTTCCGTCGCGCTTATATTATTTTTATCCCATGCCTTCGGCGGGAATTCAAATTTTTCCCTCTTCTTTCGGTGATCTGTTTGTTTGCGGGCAAGCCAACCCGCGACAGTCCAGCAACAGCAACAGCGAATCGATACACGCCTCGCGCGTGGTGTAATGTGAATCCGATAAGCGGGTGGGTTTTTGTTCTCGGCATGCAGCAAATGCGTGTGGAAGCTTCGATACCACGAGTATACCTTCCTGTCTTTTCAATTTCGACACACATCCCCGCCGTTGTAAAATATGTAGGGACGGTGGTTTGAATCTAACCACAACGCACACTATAGGTACAAGAATTAACCAAATATAAATAATGATAATATTATTATCCATCGATGTCGTTTCATTAAACATATGAGAATCTCTGTCGGCGCAAAGGTATATTATGCCAACGATCAGTCTATATATAACGATAGTCTTCGTCAATATTGATGCAATACATGTATGTAATGCATGTATAGTACTAGTCTGTTAATTTTGTTACAACAGCAGTCGAGGCAGACCTTATTCTAATTTCTAGCTGCAGACAGTAGAATCCACATTTCAGTGCAGTAGGAAACACCTAAATTATATTTGACTGATAAAAGACATATGGACTGCAGTTAGAATAAAATAATTGGATGTACATATATTTATACTTCGATTCCATTATTTTCGGGCTTAGGACGTATGCTCATCGCTATTGGTATAAAAAAAATTGAAAATTATTAGAATAAAATGTAATTATCTTATACATTGACTATGTAGATCCATAAATTAGTTATTATTTACAGTAAAAAAAAAACTATAAAATGATTTATAATATATTTTTTTACATCTCATTCCTTTTTAATCTGATGTACCCATATGGCATATATACTTGTATTATCTATGTTATCTGTGTATTATCCGGTCGTTTGGCCGTACTACCTGTTATAGGCACTGTTATAACATGCAATACAAAAATTCCGTCCCATTATAATAATCAGAACTTAGAATTGATCTTAGAAATCGCCCCTCATACCCCCTTCTCACCTATCAGATGTCGAAACATCCTACTTTGAGCGTAAGGAAAAAATCTTTATTATAAAACCTGGTTTTGGGCATATATATTATAATGTGTTTAACATTTTAATATTATAAATTATAATGCACAATGGAGTAATCATATGATTATGAAAGAGGGTGGGTGGGTAAAGTAAATATATAAACTAAGTTTTTTACAGTTTCCGTACATAAATATAATATATACAATAAAGTGGAAAGCATTTGGGGGGGGGGGGGTAAACACCAAAACCCCCCTATAAACGCCACTGATAATGCAAGTATATAACGCAATACCGGAGACGTTATTTCGCTGAGCGGGCTAGGCAACTGTTGCAGTGGGATAGTACTATATAGGCGCATGTGGCCTTTTATTTCCTATGTTCGCATCGAGATAGATATCTAAAAATACTTCGAATAGGTACTAGTATTTTTTATCGATCTCGATGCCTATCAGTAGAGTACTCAAGAATTGTCAATGGGAGGGGTGATGTTATAAGTAATAACTAATAACTAATAAATAATAATACATTTAAATAAGTTGTGGTAGTAATTACTTTATTAATACCAAAGACACAAATAAGGGGTTTAATGGGTCACAGGAGGGAGGAGTTATAACCCCAAATTTCTCCCCCTAGGCACTCCACTGATGGCTATATATAATAATTATAATTAATACACTTAATAGGTAATATACATATTGTAGGTATAGTATAGTCAGTTTTGCTCTTGTGCGACATATGCGTTTCTCGTTGAGTAAAATCAATTCGCATTGACTGTCGCTATGACGACAGTTTCATTGTGCTCAACTCAGGTGTGCTCAACCTTTCGGTTTGTAGTGCCCGGGGGTGGTTTGTGGTTAGGTTAGTGTCACCGTAAACCAAAATTATACATTATACCCTCCCACCTAATTTGTATATTATACATATATGATATTATATTAGATGAACCATAAACGGTCAATCTAGGAGAACGGCGCCGCGACAAACGGATTTCGCGACAAAACAAGCCGCAGCACCACAGATTAATTTATATTTAATCTGTGGAAGCACAGTGATAATTGAACCATTCATTATTAACACGTTTCGGAAGCCCAACATTTATATTATATAAGTACTTGCGCATAATATGCTCGCCCATATATATTCCATACCTACTTAAACCGGCAACAGTCGCTGTTAGAGATTCGGGTGAATTTTAGAGTGGTTGGAACATGCAAAAAAAAAGAGTCTTTTAAAATATTCATCGGTCTTGTGTTTGATTATTTATTATGTATGCTCGAGACTCCTTGATAAAATAAATACACGCATAGAATAGGTATTGATCAAATAATTAATATAGTTTTAGCAAAAACTGACCTCAATATTTAATACGCTATTCTCACCGGAAAAGTTTTTAATTTCGACAGTAGTATATCTGACAATATATTTGTTGTTATAACGGCACAGAATTTTCAGAATTTTTAGATTCTAAACGGAGCAAATGTATTGATTTTACAATAATGTGTTTTTCGTGTATAGGTATGTGTATAGGTTAGGTTTATAGTACGATTTATAGTAGAATAAATGTTTTAATTTTAACCTCAATATTTTTTTG